TGGCACAGGCGTCTTCTTTGGGATGACCACCATGGTAGGAATTGTTGTCTGCCTCAGAGCCGGAGGCGGCCTCGCCACAGTTGGGCGCTTCGAGGGGGCAGCAGGCTTCTTACCCTTCTGCAGTAGGTTTGCGTCTGGGTCCTCCGCCACCTCCTCCTCGGTCGGAGGCTGGAGCCTTTTGCTGGCATCCACCAGATCCTCCATCTGCTTTTTGTACGCAGAGGAGAAGGTCTTCAGGGCTCTCGCCTCTGCCACCATCTTTTGGATGGTTTTGAAGTTTGATCTCAGAGGTAGCTTCTTGTTAAAGTTATCTGTAAGGAAACAAGTACTTTAGTACAAATGTAAATAGTTCGAAAAGTGGTGAAAGATATTCGCTTCGGGACATTTACCTTGAGAGGCCATCAAATCGTGCGTCACGAAGTAGATGTTTTTTCTGATCAGTTGGTGGTATGATCTCATCTTTGGAGGCAACTGGTAAATGATGCAGATGATGTCGAAGTCGTCGATGGATAACTCACACCGAGGAAGAGTGCCTTCAAAAACAAACAGAGTAATTAAGATCCGAACCGAAGAAAAATAAACAAGAAACACAAAGTCATAGTACTCACTAAGTGTTGAATACTTCGTAGGGACCATAAGAAGCGCCAGGGGGTCCCCCTCCATTGTGTCCCATCTTCCAGCAGCCCAACACCACGAGCTCTTTCACTCCTTAATGGAGCTCGGCAGATCAAGTACGAATAGAGTGTGGGAACCCCATGAGGTCAAGTAGTACCAGCCTCTGATCTTATCCTCCCAGCCGCTACCTTGGGAATGTAGAGGGTCTGGAATACAGAAAAATGTATCTCTATCCCAAGCGACGCCTCCTTCCACAACATCCAGGAGCCCACCATTTGGCTCCAAGAGTTCGGGTTCAATTGGGTAGGAGCTAAGCCGTATGACCTAAGTACCATACGGAAGAAAGGGCAGATTGGGAACCTAAGGCCAGCCCTAAGGATCGCCTCGCTAATTACCACACACCCTGGCCTAGGGTAGTAGGCCCGCTCATCAGGTTTAGGTAGGATCAGATCTACACTATCTGAGATCCTATATTCAGCCCTAAGTCTTTCCAGGTCGGCACCCTTTAGCTTAGAGGGGTAATCTGAGGCCCCCCAATGCACAGATGTGTCTACTGGGCTATCTGGTCTCTTCCATATGTTCACCCCCCTAATAATCGCTTCGGCTATTTCAAAGGAGGTTGCCAAAATGGGCTCGTCCATCCTCACTAGTTCCAACCCCCTCCCCAAGCTACCACTACCCTCAAAAGCCATTTTCAGAAATGAAAAGTTTCAAATACTTATTGAAATTTTCGAAATGGAGTGTCCCGTAGCCGGAAATAGTCAAGAAACAACGTAAGTCGCCAAAAATTGGGATTTCTCGCTGGAAAGTGCTTGAAGAACGCCTGAAAATGCAAAGATTTTGAGAGTAAATGGGGTTTTTGATTTCGCAAAAGTGAAAAGCTCCAAAAACGCTCAAGTCCGCCTTTTATAGAGCGTCCCAGCTGATCTCTACCGTTGAATTCTAATGCAATCAATCTAGGCCATCCGTCGCATCACCAATTTAGGCCGTTGAAATGAATTGCTAGATTTGATCTATGCCTAGGATCTAGCTGTGACCTTCACGCTCACGTGAAACGCATTACCTCGATCACCATCAGCTGTCTACAATAAGTAGCCGCAACAGCCTTTTCTAGGAATGGGCATCGTACCCAACTGTCGCCTTGGAAACACGTGACGGCTGTCAAATCATTTAACGTCAGAGATATCCGCCTCAGATCGAGATCTTCATTCAACTTTACAAAGCTTAGATGCACCTGACGCGGAGTCCCCTCTGGGTCATCGCCACGGTAGCTGCGTTCCTTCCTAAGCCTTACAAAGCTTTAGTCATCTCCCAACGCGTCGTCCCCTGTGGGTCAGCGTACCGGTGGTAGATGAGCTCCTCACTCAGCTTTACAAAGTTTAGACACACCTGATGCAGAGTCTCCTGTGAGTTATCACCTTGGTAGCTACGTTCCCTCATAAGCTTTACAAAGCTTTAGCCATCTCCCCACGCGTCGTCCCCTGTGGGTCAGCGCACCAGTGGCAGATGAGCTCCTCACTCAGCTTTACAAAACTTAGACACACCTAAGGCGGATCCCCTGTGGGTTATCGCCTCGATAGCTACATTCTCTCCTAAGCTTTACAAAGCTTTAACCATCTCCCAACGCGTCGTCTCCTGTGGGTCAGTGCACCGGTGGTAGATGAGTTCCTCACTCAGCTTTACAAAACTTAGACGCACCTGATACGGAGTCCCCTGTGGGTCATCGCCTCGATAGCTGCGTTTCCTCGTAAACTTTACAAAACTTTGGCAGTCTCCCAACGCATCGTCCAGTAGGCAGGACATCGGTCTCAAATAAGTTCTTTCCTTACACAGTAATGAATCTTTAGCGAGTCTGCCTAAGGTCAACGCTTCGGTGAACACAGAAAATCGACCCACAAGTTCTCACAAATCACGATCCTTATTTCGAGGCGGACATACCCGATCGGGAAAACAAGTTCACCCATGATATAAATATTCATGCCTGAACTTGGGGGACCACTGTTACGCCCCATCTGAGCCACTTTAGAAAGTCGACCATTGTGTTATACGAGGTGTTCAACACCCATCCTATCTGAACCACTTCAAAAAGTCTACCACGGCGTTATACGAGGTGTTCGACACCCATCCGAAGTGGTTCCGAAGTGACGCCACCACCAATGTTGTCGATCTGCTAACGCACTGTGAGGCACAGACAATCTACTGAACCGACCGAAGCGTCCTCGCCCCTAAAGCCGAGGCACAGTACATTCCAAGGTTCTCTGTCAGAGGATCCGCTGTCAATTTCAGAAAGAGATCTATGTCAAGATCATTTCTGCCCCCAAGGTTTAATTGATTTGACGTCTCCATAAGCCTAATTGATGTGACCTATCAACTTTATGTCAACTTAATTCGGGAGAAGTAATTACCTGCCCACTCTATAGACGCAGCTGCTTGACGCCTATGAGCAGACTCCTCACACCATCAGATGCATACACGTGTTTCACATCCTACGGTTCTCCTCACTTATAAATACCCAAGGTTTGATAAGAGGCAGAGGTAATGAAACTCTTACAACAAAGCTTTCCATAACAAGCAAATATATATTATTCTCCCCACTATTTTGCACAACCTTGGTATTGTTCCGATCACTTGAGGCTAACTTGACCGTCGGAGTGTATGCGGTCGCCACCACCCTCGCTGGTTCCGGCCGTGTGCATTTGACCGTACGTTGACTGTGCGCAGAGAAGAATACGTGGAGTAACTATCGATTGGCCACGTGGAGGGTCCAATTTGCGAGGTCAACAACTATCATAAATCATTTTAGACTCGATATAAAAGAAAAATTACAATCAGTGTATTATTAATACCACAATAGTAGTCGTATAACATTTTTTCCCTTTTCTTCTTCATATTGAAAATATATGATCAAATAAAACATATATTTTGTATATAATTTGCCACCATCCTAACCTCATTTAAAAAATTATTTGCACTGTTTGTTGTGATTTTCCAATATCTTCTTGATAATTTTTACACAAATGCTTTTTACGCGAAAGTTTTAGAGGGGATGAATAAGTTATCATCATTTTCGGCATTTTACTACTACAAAAACTTCCCTATTGAAATAATTAAGTTGCAGAATTTTATTATTTTTTAATACTAAGCATATATAATATGGTATAATCTCTCGATGGTACGTTAAATTTTAAAATAAAATTTCAAAGCATGAAAATAAGAGAGAGAATGTGTGTGTGTATATGTGTATGTGTATATATATATATATATTAGCCAAATCAAACTTTGGGAGTAATGTATTTTGAAATGGTAATTGTTTGAAAAATATGTAGTTAAAAAAAGAAAAAAAAAATTTGAATTTACATGTAATATTATTTTATTGAAGAATGTGTGATTAAAAAGAAGTAATAAAAAAAGTATTTAAATTTTAATGGCTCGAAATAGGCTAAAATAATTCTTCTCCCACTTGCAATTATTAGCCAACGAGCATTGACTCTTGACAATGTATAAAAATTCTAAAATTTATTTTGATCAAATTTAAGCTATAATAATATTTTGAAGTAATTATTTATCTCAATAATATATTAAATTTTTCTTTATAATTTTCTTTAATTTTGTAAACTGATTTGATTTTAATTATCCGAAGATTTGGTTTAATTTTACAATGTATTTACTCTTAAAAAATTCTTTCAAAATCTTCCCATTCTACATCATTCTCACCCCATATTTTCTTCGGGGTAAATAGCACAAAACGTCCCTATATTTTAATATTATTGTGCAAAACGTTCCTACTTTTTCATTTTTGACGTTTTCACCCTTATTTCCACATTTCATTGCGCAAAAGGTCATTTTCATCAATTTTTACTATTTTACCCTCCTTTCAAATAAAATAAAAAGAAAATATAGAGAACTAATTGCAACTATAACCCTATATTTTCAAAAAAATTACAAATCACTGACAAAGTATAACAAATCTATACCATCATTTTATCCCCTCCACTTCATATCAAAATTAACCCATTTTCGCAGGAGAAATATTTTTGTCGGATCATTTTCACCATTTTTCCAATCACCTTCGTTTAAAATTATGGCAGCAGCTATTGGGATTCATAACATAAATCTCTTGTTTCTTTCCCATAACAGATCCACAAAGATTTTTTCTTCGAGCCCTAGTTTATCCTTGTCTAATTCCACCAAGAAAACCCCACAAAAGTGTGTATCTTCAACAATTGCTTCACGGAATCAAGCCATTTTTAAGGAGGACTTTGGAACAGCCTTGCTAGTAGAAGTAGCTTTTCCTTTACCTATTTTGGGAGTAAAGAAAAAACACAGATTTGTCTAGCCCGTTTGAGGGAGCAAGAACTTCCAATTTTTTATGTAAATCAAAAGTGTAGCAGAAAAGGTGTTGTATCTTCATTTCATTCCAGAAAAAATAGCAGAAAAAATTCAACAAATTCCCACAGAAATAGGGATAAAGACCAACATTCACAAGTTGGTTTTAACTACTCAACAACTATGCGAGACTTATTCAAGGAACTAAACATAAAAATGGAAAATTATTAACTTTAGGACATAAAACTCCTATCAGCTCCCTCCCCCTTAAATTTCAGCCATGTCCTCAAGGTTAATATTTGGGAACTGATTTTTTAAGTATTTCGCGATCCTCCCAAGTTGCTTCAGCTGGAGATGAACCTTGCCAATGCACCAAAACTTGCTGCCTCTTACCCCTCATTCATCTATCCAGATTTGCTTGTGGCAGAGGAATTAATTTCTCTTCAACTTGATCCATGACAGGAAGCTGTGTTATGACTGATTGATCACCAAACTTCTTCTTTAATAACGAAACATGGAACACGGGATGTAATTTTGAGGAGTCGGGCAATCCTTTGTAATACCTTGATAGGACTGTAGAACTTGGCAGAGAGTTTCAGATTCTGCCTCCTGGCTAACGTTAGTTGTCTATAAGGCCGAAGTTTAAGAAATACCCAATCACCTTTTGAGAATTCCCTTTCCTGGTGCCTTGAATCATATATTCGTTTCATTCTGGCCTGTGTTTGTTTGATGTTGTCCCGAGCAACTTGGATACTTGAGCTCCTCTTCCACTGCTGCTACTCTAGCTGTACCAGGAACATAAGTCAAAAGAGAAGGAGGAGCCCTTCCACATACCACTTCAAAGGGAGTGCTTTTGACTGATGAGTGCCAACTTGTGTTGTAGCAAAACTCTGTCCATGTCAACCATTTAGTCCACTGCTTAGGTTGCGAACTCGTGAAACACCGCAAATACATTTCTAATGTTCTATTTTCCACTTCAGTCTGGCCATCCGTTTGAGGGTGGTAACTAGAACTAAAGTTGAAATCTGTCCCTTGAAGGTGAAATACCTCTTGCCAAAATAAACTGGTAAACACTAATATCTATCACAAACAATGGAACGAGGCATACCATGCAACTTGAAAATATTTTCAAAGAATATCCAGCAACTCCAACGGCTGTATATGGATGAGACAAAGTAATAAAATGGGCATATTTGGATAATCTGTCAACTACCACAAAAATGGTTGTTTTACCATTGGAAGGTGGAAGTCCATCAATGAAATCCATAGAAATGTCTTTCCGAATTTGCTCGAGAATGGGAAGAGGTTGGAGAAGTCCTGTTGGTGCCATGTGTTCTGCTTTATTTCTTTGGCAGATGTCACAATTTTTAATAAAGTCCTTAATTCCTTTCCTTATCCCAACCCAGTAAAAATTTGAACGAAGTCGTTGTACGGCCTTGACAAATCCTTCGTGTGTGCTGCCATGAAACTGCCAAGTAATGTATGAATTAAAGGTGAATCACCAGCCAAGTATATCCGGTCCTTGAAGAACAGGATGCCATCTTGAAATCTCCAAGGTCCTATGGCTTCTCTGCTGCACCAATTTTTGTAAATTTGTATTGGAACGAATTTCTTCCTTGACAACATCTAGCCAATCCGGTACAACTTCGAGATTGCATAAAGTTCCTTTGGGTCCTCTTCATATTTCCTGGAGAGAACATTTGCAGCTATATTTTCCCTCCCACTTTTGTACTCCACCTCGAAATCGAATCCCATCAACTTGTATAACCACCTCTGTTGAGCCGTGGTTGTGATCTTTTGAGTCTACAAGTGGTTCAAGCTTTGATGATCAGTTCTTACAATGAATCTCCTTCCCAGCAAGTAGGATCTCCATTTTTGTACTGATAATACCAAAGCCAAAATTTCTTTCTCATAAGTAGATAACAAGAGGTGTTTACCTTGCAAGGCCTGGCTAAAGAAAGCTATAGGTCGATCTTGCATAAGGACGGCTCCAACTCCAGACCCTGAAGCATCAAATTCCACAATGAAAGTTTTTGAAAAATCTGGTAGAGCCAAAACTGGTGCACCGGTCAAGGCTTCCTTGAGTCTGGAGAATGCCTCCAAAGATACTTCATTCCATTTGAAAGAGTCCTTCTTGAGCATTCGTGTGAGAGGACCAGCAATCTTCCCGTAATTTTGTATGAATTTACAGTAGTACCCTGTCAATCCCAAAAATCCTCTAAGGGCCTTAGGTGTTTGGGGTTTAGGCCATGTGAACATTGTCTCAATTTTCTCTAGATCCACAGAAACTCCTTCAGTAGTAATTAGATGGCCAAGATATTTAACTTCCCTTTGGCCAAATTGACGCTTTTCTAATTTTACATGTAACTCATTGGCTTGTAAAATTGAAAATACAATATTTAAATATCCCATGATTTACTGTAAATCAGTATATCATCAAAAAATACTAAAACAAATTTTCTCAAATAATCACGGAAGACTTCATTCATAAGAGCTTGAAAAGTTGATGGTGCATTAGTAAAACCGAAGGGCATTACCAGGAATTCGTAGTGTGCTTGATGAGTTCTGAATGCTATTTTTTCCACATCTTTCGGACTCATTCGAACTTGGTGATACTCAGATCGCAGGTCGAGCTTGGAAAATACCTGTGCACCATGTAGTTCATCTAAGAGCTCATCAATTATAGGAATTGGATACTTATCCTTAATGGTACGCTGATTCAAAGCTCGATAATCTACACACATCCTCCATGAGCCGTCCTGTTTCTTTACCAATATGACTGGGGAAGAATAGGGGCTGTTGCTGTGTCGGATTATACCCATGGAAAGCATTTCCTTAACCATTCTCTCAATTTCAGCTTTCTGAAAGTAAGGATAACGATATGGCTTCCCTGAAACTAGGCCACACGCATGCTGTATTGGTATTTTGTGGTCACATGCTCGCTTGGGAAGTAACCATGTTGGTTGTTCAGCAAGTACTTTACTAAATTTTTGCAGAATCGACTTCACTTGTGGATGGAGTTCTTGCTGGACTTCACCTTTCTTTTCCTCAGGTACGAGTTCAAGTAAAATTCCTTTTGTCAGTCTTAGCTTGTAAATTTCATGACCATCAACCACCATGTCCTCAGTGCTTTTCAATCCATGGAGGCGAATAATCTTGCCATACAATTCAAACTTCATTACCAATTTAGACAAATCCCATTCAATTTTCCCAAGTGTGCAGAGCCATTGTGTTCCCAAAACAACATCACAACCTTCCAATGGCAGTAAATAAAAATCAGCTTGAATAGGATGGCCTTGCAAAATCAATTGAACATTTTTACACTTCCCTGGGCAAGATATTTTTTCTCCAGAAGCCACCATTACCTCCAAGTTATCATATGAGTTCGGTTGGAGGCTACCTTCATTGCTAGCTGTTCATTAATGAAGTTATGAGTGCTTTCTGAATCGATCAACACAGTAGCTTCTTTGAAAGTAAGATAGCCTCTAACTCTCATTGTTTTAGGATTTCGAAGTCCAGCAATCGCATAGAGTGAAATTTCTGGCATATCTGAAACTTGCTCCTCAGATGGTCCATCTTTTTCCATCTCCACATCGTCATCACTGTCCCCTAATGTGGCTTGGATAAAGAACAACTTCTTACACACATGTCCTGGGCCAAACTTTTCATTGCATTTGAAACACAAGCATTTGCGCCTCCTCTCATTTAATTCCTCCGTGGTCATTCTCTTAATAGGAGCTGGTCCCGAACTTTGGATGCGCGGTGCTGGAGTTGTACGAAGAGCAGGTTGCATGTTCTTGCGTTTGCTAAAATCTCTAGATTCGAATAGCCTTGCTAACCCTATAGCTGAGGACAGAGACCTTGGCTTGTTGGCTCTAACATCAGTTCTGACGGGTTCTCGAAGGCCTCCTACGAAACAACTGACTTGTCGAGATTGCTCCATTGGTCCAGCCTTAGCCAACAATTTCTCAAATTTAACCTGGTAGTCTTGTACTGAACTTGTTTGTTGTAAACGAGTTAGTTCAACAAAGAAATCCAAAAACTGTGTTGGCCTATACCTTGCATTTAATTCGTTGTTGAATTCTTCCCAAGTGGTAGTACCCAGCTTCTGTTTTAACAATTGGTACCATAGATGTGCATCGCCATCCAAATGAAATGAAGCTAATGCAACTCAATCTTGAACAGGGATTCCATGTAGTTAAAAGAATTGGTCTGCCTTGCTCAACCAAATGGTTGGGCCTCCTTTTCCTTCATAGCGAGGAAAATCAATCTTTGCCGTTTTTGGAACATAAGATCCTTACATTGAACCCTCAGAAGCATTTGCACGACCACCTGGTGTACTATGGGCTGCTGTTGAGTCCTCTATCCTGCCTGGAGTTTGCATTCTAACAGTAGAAGTAACTTTTCGTCAACCTATTTTAGGAGTAAAGAAAAAAACACAGATTTGTCTAGCTCGTTTGAGGGAGCAAGAACCTCCAATTTTTGATGTAAATCAAAAGTGTAGCAGAAAATGTGTTGTATCTTTATTTCATTCCAGAATAAATAGCAGAAAAATTCAACAAATTCCCACAGAAATAGGGATAAAGACCAACGTTCACAAGTTGATTTTTAACTACTCAACAACTATGCGAGACTTATTCAAGGAACTAAACATAAAAATGGAAAATTATTAACTTCAGGACATAAAAATCCTATCAGACTTGCAGAATAAAGATGCGCTTTTCCCAAAAAGAATTGGTTCAATTTCGGATATTGTAAAGAATTTGAATCAGGCTCCCTTATTAGTCCATCTATTCAGAAGATGATGGGGTGAGGTCCAAGAGAGAAAATGCCATTTTTGAAAAATATTTTCAACTAATTGCCCTTGTTGTATGCCTCTGTCGTTGCTAAGATGGTTGAGGTTGTAAAGAGGTGGAGAGGGGTCCTGATATGTAGTGGACGTAATAAAATGATGGTATAGATATGATATATTTTGTGAGTGATTTGTAATTTTTTGAAAATATAGGATTATAGTTGCAATTAGTTCCCTATGTTTTCTTTTCTTTTTGTTTTATTTGAAATAGGGTGAAAATGCCACCCAAAAAAAGGGCATGGACGTTTTGTACAACAACATTGAAAATTATGGACGTTTTGTGTTATTTACCCCTTTTCCTCGTCTCTACAACTTTATATTACTGGCGTACTCGTTATTGTTTTTATATAGTAATCTATATGCAAATATCTAAAAAAAATAGAAAGATACTACATTATCAGGGTAGATGATTACAGATGTTCTACAAGCCCTCTCTCAGTTGGTGGGCCAACATATTTTATTGCATTTTTTAAGGGAAAAATTCATAATTCAGGTGTATTGTTTACACCAATTCAAAAATCAGGTAGATAGTTTGAAATTTCAAAATTCATGTATATCTTAATTAATTAAAAATATCTACTAAATAAAGATAACAAAGTCACAGTTATACAATTAATGGTTACAGATTCATAGTTATAGATCACAAATTTATTCACTGGTCACATATTATCAAATTAATTGGTCACAAATCAAAAAATTTATAAGTCACAATTTATTTTTTAGTCGCGGATTATCAAATTTTAAGTTCACATATTATTTTTTTGTTATAGATTATCAAATTTTAAGGTTACAGACCAAATCATTGGTTACCTATACCAAACACTCCACTCTCGATCTCAATCCATCACCAATACTTAATCACAAAGCAATCAAATAGCTGGTCACAATCATTATTACACCCTGCCCTCGCCACAACATCACCATGACCACCGCCAACAACAAAAACGACCACCAAAACACAACGACCGACTGCACTACACCACACCACACTACATCCACAACGCACCATCGTCGCCACAACCATCGCGCCCCATTGTAACCCTAATCCATTACAACCACCACCACTGCTGTCAGTATACCACACCTCAAATCACCAATGCACCATTACCCTCTACACCACACCACGACCATAGCTTATAGAATCACCACTTTACCGTCACATCAGTAGTGCCCCGCAGCAACCACAGACCGATCTGAAAAATGTCGTTGCCATCACCATGCAACACCACTATCATTCACCATTAACCACGCACTACAATGAATAAACGCAAATCTTGTAGCTACCTCCGCGCGACGCCGCCACCATCAACACCAATGCTGCGCCTCCACCACGACCACCACGTCACACCTCTCTATACACGTAGATCTGGATCTGACTGTAATCGAAGTTGTAGCAGCTATAGATCAGCGTTGTGTATAGATCTAGGCAACTCCATCTCGTCGCAATTCACCACGTTGCCATGAGTAGCTGAAGCACCGTGCGACGATGAATGAGGTCCTCACAGTCGCAATGTAGGGTCTATCCGTCGAAGAAATGATGGAAAGATGATGAGAGCTAAGAGAGAGGCGAGAGTGAGAGAGAGAGAATATATTTTAGTGTTGGGTGATTTTAGGGAGTGGAAATGGGTTTTAATTTTATAACTCTATTATTAATATTTAAAAAACATTGTGATTATCTGAATTTTGAATTTAAAAATTTTAAATCTTAATTTTGAATTGGGGATTTGAAATTTAGGGATGACTGTTGTTTCCTCATTTTTTTAATGAGAAAATTACCTCGAACCCTACATATAAAATATATTACTCAAAAGTAAGATTGTCTAGTTTTAATTTCATAAATCAGGTGATGATGAGAGTTTATTAAATTAATTAATACATGATAAATATGAAAACCGTTTATATTTATCTAATGAAATATTTTTAAAAATCTTTCCATAACAATTATCCCACTCGTTCTCTCTCTTCAAGCTACATCAAACCATGTCTTTTCTCTCTCGACGGTTTCTTCACTTATTATATGTAAGAGCCAATTTTAATTTTCTTCTCCCTAAACCCTAAACCAATTAGGAAAAACTACCACGAAATCCAACCCCACCATTTTGCCGAGACCTCAACCCCAAATTTGAATAGGAAAGCAACCAGTAGTTTTATTCACCACTAATTGAAGCAAGATCTGAAAATTTGGTTGATAATTTCACTCTTGTTACAAACGGAAATAGTAAATGTGATTTGATTTTATTATTGATTGGTCATTTGATTTACTCACCTATTTAATGCATCCATGATTTTGACCTTTCTCTACAAGTGCAAAGAAACTGGGGACTAAGGATGCTGAGTTTAATGGGGATTTCAACGTCGGGTCCATGGGGATTGGGTTCGACATGGTGGAGAGGGAAGCTTTGGGAAGAAGATGAAAGGTTAAAATCTTTTATATTATTATTTAATTTTTTATTGTAAAAATATATATTATAATTTTACCCCTTTTAAATTTGGTAAAAATATGATCAAAATAATTTTTTTTGGTTGTGAAATATGCAATTGTGACCTATAGTTGTGTTTTCATGCCAGAAAATAAGTTGTGAAAATTAATTTGATAACTTATGATCGATAAATAACTTCTAATCAATTATTTTGTTAATTTATGATCGTAAAATAAGTTGTGACCTATAAAATTTATGATTTATGATCGAAAAATAATTTGTGACTAATTAATTGATAATTTGTGACCGTGAAATAAATTTGACCTATAAAATTTGTATTTTGTGATTGAAAATAAGTCATAACCAATTAATTTGATAATTTATTATCGTGAAAGTTGTGATCTATACATTTTCTAATTTGTTATCGAGAAATAAGTTTTATGATTATATGTGATTAAGTTTGTGTTAATAGTGATATGTATAACCAAACATTCATTAATTGTCAATATTTGTGAAAAAATATATTTACATTTAAAGTTTGTGATCGTTAATATGTCAACTATGACTTTCTATGACCAAATTTATGTTAATTGTGACGAGTTGTAACCAAGTCTATTTTCATTGTAATTATCTGTGATCAAATTTATCTTAATTGTCCCTGTATGTTACCAAATTAACAATGACTCAATTACATAATATCACAATTATGACAGACCTGATCAAGAATGTCACAATGGAACAAGCTTGGTCACAAATAACACAAGCTTGGTCACAAATAATAACAGTTTAAACTGAGATGGTCACAAACATATATTTTTTGAATACAAACACCTATTCAGAAGTTTTGAATTTTTAAGTCACAAGATGAATTCAACGTTTCAGATCAATAGTAAATTTCAATTGAATAATCTTTCATTGAATACACAATTTATTAAAGTCGCATGTCATTATTAAAATTGCATATGTTACTAGTCACAATTCACTGGTCACAGGCTTGGGTCACAGGCTTGAGTCACAAATCACAGTCATTTTGTATATGTCACAAATCAATATAAATGGGTCAAATATCAATATTAACAGGTGAAATGTCATTTTTTAAAAGTCATGGATCAAATTTACAGCCACAGTTTATGCTACGAGTCACAGGTAACAATTCACGAGTTACAAGTAATATTTCATACGTTACAATGTGCATATGTTACAAATCCAATACGATTAACTACTGTTTTCATTACCACATCTCTATCACAACACTTCTAGAAAATTCATGGACAAAATGACAAAGTTCAAATGAAAATAAATCCAATATAACAGACAATTTTGGAAAAGTAGTGTTGGTGTAAATGAAGATAAAAGCATCTTCAGAAACAAACCAATTGTATGGCACAACAAATAATGAAGTTAGCCATCATGTAAATATGAAGTATAAATGAAGATTATGCAACTGAAGATCCATGAAAGACACCCATTTCAAACCAGTAAAACCCAAAAGCTAAATAGTATACATATACACGACAAACCCAAGCTTCATACCAATTTAGTTATACCACAAATCCAGTGTCCACATAATTAAAAAAAAAAAGCCTAAAATCAACATCTCAACTACACTTTAAGGTAAAAAAAAAAAAAGAAGGTACGATGTCTTCGCCGGAGCCGATGTCGGAACGGTCACTAGAATATTGCTAGAATGTTGCTGGGATAGACGTCGGAGAAGTTGTAGTAACAGTTGTCGGAGAATTTGCCTAAACAGTTGCCAAGGCTAGGGCCTCCTTCAATGGAGATAAGAGGAGAAGGCGAGACAGAGAGAGATGGGGTAGTGGAAGTGAAACAAGAGGATTAAGGTATGAATTTGAAGACACAAATGGGATGGGGTAAGTAGAATTATTTTATTATTAATTAAAATATGAATTAACACCTGATTTTGGAAATTATTTTACAAGTTTGTTAATTTAGAAATGTTGATCTTTAGAGTATTGTAGTTATGTATTGTTCCCTTTTTTATTACATGCAGGTTCGACCTGCAGCCCATCTCATTGTGACAGCCATACAAGGCTTGATTAATTTTCACTTGACAGACCAACACTTTCCTAAAAAATATTGAGCTCTGCTAGGTTGACAGAGTTGGAGACAGGGGAATAAACATGAGTTGAGGTGAATACAAATCAAATCAAGGGTCGAGGTGCTGTTTATTTTTTCTGTCACCAGCCTGTCACTTTAGCATCAGTGAGAAATATTACAGTAGTTCTCACTCATTCAATTCTTTCATCCTCGCTCATCTGACTTTTCTCTTGTTATCTCCTTCCTTTTTTGAACTTTTCTTTGCCAGAAGCATAAAAGAAAAGAATCTTCATTCTCATATCATTAAAATTTTGCGGATTTTTCATTCTGATATCCTTAGATTTTTTGTGGGTTTTCCGAAAAAGTGAAAATTATGGAGTCTGCAGCAAGTTCTGATACTTCGAATTCTGATTCATGGCCTTATTCATCAAGCAATCGAGAAAATTCCAGAATCCCTTTTTCTCCCCTTCGGTTCTTCAATTCCCCTGTTTCATCCCTACTCGAATATTCCGGGATCCTCCGGGTACGACCAGATTTCCACTCCGATGCCCAGCCCCTTATGTCTGAAGCCACCAACAATCCTGTTACAATCAATGAGAATAGTCTGAATAGTACTAGTAATAGTAATGATAACAATGGGGAGGTTGCTATTCGGATAATCGGGGCAGGGGAGCAGGATAGAATCGGGATTGTTGACAATAGAGGAGAGAGTGAACAAGCAGGCTTGGGTTTGGGTTTGGAGGAGCCTACGGGGGATTTTGTTGATGATAATTATGGTGGCAGCGGTAGTAGTAATGATACCAACAGGGAAACGTCATCTTCTCAAAGATATGATATACAGCAGGCTGCGAGGTGGATTGAGCAGATTCTTCCCTTCGCTTTGCTTTTATTGATGGTTTTCATCCGCCAGCACTTGCAAGGTAATTTTTGGAGTATTGAGGGTTTACTTTATTGTAATATTTTGACTTTGTTTATGTTTATCATAGTAGACGTTCTCAATATGCATCTAACTAATTCTGGCGAATTGTATGTACATCATATTTCCTTTAAGGATGACGCCAATCATGTTTCGAACTTGATCGTGTGTCATATCGACAAATTGTATAGGATCCATATTCTTATGATTTTATCATAGTTCTAGGCTAATCTGAGTTGGAATTCTGGTTGGATTCAATCTAGGCTAGGTAAAATTGATTTACATTCAATTATGCTTTTGCATCCACACTGACATTTGTGCAAGTAGATGTTTTCCATTGAATTATGAGGTATCTGATCATCATGTTTAGGTGCCGGATTTTCATTTTTCATTTTTAGGAGGTTGTATTCATTTCCCTCCAATTTAAATTACTTTTGAACTTACGTTCATATTTGAACAGGGTAGAGGTAGTTAAAGATACTGGTCCTCCTTTGTGAAAACTCAAATAAGTGCATCTTGGGAAGTGTTTATGAATGATTTAATTTATAAATAGATAGAAATAAGTGGCGGATCCCACAAAATGTGCAGTCAAAAAAATGACTTTAATTTTCATAAACAATTTATAGACATGAGACAAACATAGGCTACGTAGTTTCAGTGCCATATCTATCATGCTCAAACAATATGAGATTTCAGAGCAGATTTGATGCGGTGCTGTTAGGTACTTTTCCTGGAAGCAACTAAGTTTAGGTGACGTGATGGTACAAATCTTGTAATTTATTAGTGACAGTGGATACAATGAAAAGTAGCAATCTTTTTTTATCCATAACTGGTTGATTGTAAGAAAGCTTTACCTTGTAACATTTTTCACGTGCATTGGTTTTAGCTTGTAAACTTCAGCATGTACTGCAAGAAGTTGCAAATAAAGATGTTGGATGAGGTTTGCAAGAATATAAAATTGAAGGACAGCTGATGGAAGAAAATAACTTATCACACACTAATTGATAACAATTAGAAGTAATGTTTATTGTTAAGATAGTGCTATGATGTTATACGTTTAAATGCTCAGAGGCTATTAAGTGTATGTTTGACAATGCGTAAATTATAAATTAAGTTGGTCAAAGATACTTATTATTATCCACATATTTAATAGGATCCACGACCACTATCTGCTTAGTATTCACACATTTTGTAGGACCTACAACTTATAATCACTTAAAAGCACTCCTAAGCATGCTTTAAAATGCATGGAAGACTTGTCTCTGTGTGTGGAAGTTGGAAAATGTTCATTGCTCTTGTTGTAATGCTACTGAGAACTTTGTTGTTGATATAACCAGAGTAGTTTAGAATTGGGTATAGACTGCTATAGTCTCACTGCTTGTTATTCTATTCTTTGAAATTGAATGCTATAGTGATTGAGTAAAATTTATTCAATGCCTTTTGATCTTTCCAGAATAGCCCAAATGTATTGTTGCAATGCTAATAATGACTCTGTTGAAATTCATTGTTGGTAAAGCCAGTCTTTGTAGCACGGACACGTCCAACACGTGTCGATATTGACACTCTTCGGACTCTCTACAATAATCATTTTTCTTTCTTACTATAGCTATTATATATTTTTAACTCAAAATTATTAGTAAATAACAAATAAGTATTTATATTTAAAAGATTTCAACATGAAAAATCAATAATAAGTATAAAACTAAATTTATAATTTTATACTATACAAATGAAGAATTTTAAAGAATTTAATCAACATGTCGACGACGTGACGTGTCGATACTTTTTTGAAAAATCATGAGTCGATGTATCCAACACATATCGTGTCAGACGCACGTGTCCGTATCGTGCATCATAGGCCAGAGTAGGATAGATGTGGATATAAATTGTTTTAGTCTCATTGCTTCTTATTATCTTCTTTGAAATTGAATGCTATGGTGATTGAGTAATGTTTATTCAATGCCTTTAGATCTTTCCACAATAGCTCAGCTTTATAATCTCCTAGAAAGTTTCGTTTTGATGCAATTGTTAAAGCATAATTGACTTCTCTGTTTTCGACTTTTGGCCTAATAAACCACTGTTTTCTTGGTCCTCTTTGAAACTTTATTTTTCGAGGAAAATAAGCAGCATTTAAGATGCAGTAACCATAAAATCATAGTTTTCCTTTCTGAGACCTGTAGCTTTCCCTTTATATATTGTTTTCCTGGATTAGTTATTGCATATAGCTTGGTTTAGTGTGGAATGAATTGTTAAAATGTTTGGATATCATTAGAGCTGTCTTTAAGTTCCCACTGGACTCACACCTTCTTATTCCATGTTGTATTTTAACCATAATTCTACAACTAATGAAATGTTTTGGGTAAATTACTTCAGTGATGTGGGCACTGTATGAAAGAAACAAGCCTTTTACTTGTTTATCATAAGTTATGCAGCCTAATTGCTTTTACCATTCACTTTCCATATCTTGATGTTATTCATGTTCTAGATAACATTAAATATCATCTTTCTTGATTATCTTTTTACAGAGAATCATGAGGAGATAACTCATGCATAATCTTCCGTGTCTATGAAATTAACTAGCCCCTTTTTTCTGTTATGGGTATTCTCATGTTTTGACTGTCCTTCAAAACTTGATTTTGGTACTTATTCGAATTATTAGTTTTCTATTTGATAAGTTAGGAGATTTAATAATATGTACCTTATAACTGTTTTCATTTATAAATTCACATTTCTTTTCTTTGTGTATTAAACCCTCGACTTTTCTAAATATGGAACTTCAGGTTTCTTTATTACAATTTGGATCACTGCTGGCTTGTTCAAGTCTAATGACATTCTTCGGAAACAGACAGCTCTAAAGGTATGGTGTGTGTTTCATATGTTGAGTACTGAGTAGTTTGTAGCATATTCATGTTAATTGTTTAACGTTTAAGCCATACCTCTTTTAGTAGAAGGAATAAAGATGACTATAGGAATACTTAAGAACAACTAAACACTGGCTTTTGCAGGGAGAGAGAAAGATTTCCGTGCTTGTTGGTTATTCATTTGCCTTCATACTTCATGTATCTGGAATCTACTGGTGGTGTCGGAATGATGATATTTTCTACCCTCTATTCATGGTTCCTCCAAAGGTTATCCCACCTTTCTGGAATGCAATTTTTATCACCTTGGTAAATGGTATGAATTCTTTGAGCTCTTTATTATTTTGGCAATAACTTCATTTCGTCTATATGATATACACAAAGGGACCAAATAATTGATTATTTGAAACCTGTTTGTGTGCATGCTGAATATGCATTGGTAGTTAAATACGAGAAGGAAATCAAGTGCCTTGTGCCTTACTGAACAACATAATTTAAACTTTGGTTATACTTGTTTACATTTTATATGATCATTGCATGTCTATATTTGTCCCCTCAAATTAAATTGCTCATGGCATAGTTTTTCCCTCTCTTTTTCCTATTGAAAATTATCCAATAATCAGTTTCTGTTCTGAAATTTGAAAATTTGTATAACTTGTTTTCTAACATTTATTGTAGTTTATATTTTTGAGCATATACAATTTTATTATACTTAGGGTTTTTCTGGAAGGCAAGGGATAACTTGAGGGGGAATATTGTTAAGGGTACTTTACTTAGTTGTTTCCTTTTAATTTTTTCTGAAATTGTTTGATTCAGATACAATGGTGCGGCAGGCTGCAATGGTCTTGAAGTTGGTTCTGCTAATGTATTATAGGAATGGCAAGGGCCATAATTTCCGCAGACAGGTAATACAGTTTCTACAGTATATAATAAAGTTGCTGTTAGTTCAGTGGCGTACTATTTGATTCCATAGAATTCTGATGTATGATTTGCTTTCAGGGTCAAATGTTGACACTAATTGAGTACATGCTGCTTCTATACCGAGCACTTTTACCAACCCCTGTATGGTATAAATTCTTCTTGAACAAAGAAAATGGAAGCCTCTTCTCATCATTGACAACAGGGTTGTATTTAACTTTCAAGCTTACATCAATTGTTGAAAAGGTATTTCTTGCATTCACTTGCTTGTTTATTATGAACAATGTGGAACACCATATTTAAAGAGATTTGTTTATCTTCTTCCACCCTGCTGTCAGGTCCAATCCTTCGTTGCTGCCTTGAAGGCATTATCGAGAAAGGAAGTTCATTATGGGTCTTATGCGACATCGGAAGAGGTATAATGTTTCTTTTACTTTTAAATTTTGTGGAACTAGTTTTGGTCCATATGGAACCTACTGGTGTGAAAGCAGACTAACACATGCCTTAATGCCGACTACACGACAATTTGTAATGTCTTTGTGATGCAGGAGTGTACTAATTTGACAATGAACAAGCAATGGAACAAGAAAAAAGAGGTCTAATAACAGAAGAATTGACGCCAAAGAAAATCAATTTTTCATATGTTCAAGGTTGGAATTTATAAATGAACAAACCCTCTATTTATATAGAAACTAATCTAAAATTAAAAGAGCTTCTAATAAGCTATAACTTTATCAAAATATTAAATCTAACTGAATCTAATCTGAACGATCATAATATGAATTCAACTCTTATTTTAAAATCCCTTCTAACTACTAATTCTATTCCATATTTACCTCCATCACTTGGCTTTTAAATTATGAGAATAATTTTGATCAGTATGGAACCTGCTGGTGTCAAAGTGGCAGAAGTAACCTTAATATTCCTACTGTATCTAACAATCAGGAATATATTTAGTAAATCCTACTTTCCTTTGCATTAACCTTTTGAGCTCATCTTGTTTGCTTCATTTTGTACTATCTTAGTTGTTCTCTAATGAATGAGGACTAAATGGTTATTCAAGGCAACGATTTGAACTTATAATTTTGATCCGATAGTCCATGTTCAATTGCATTTTCCATGCCAACTTTCCAACTAATATTTTTGAATTTCTGGATAAGAATCCATAATGACTTTCCAGCATAAGATTGTATTTTTTGTTAGCATTTTCAGTTGTTAATGTCTTCTTGTAACAACACATTGGTTTTGGACTTTTAGTAAGTAAATGGTCATTCACCTTGCACATGTAAAGGCACAGTTCCAGCATAAGATTGTATTTTTTGTTAGCATTTTCAGTTGTTAATGTCTTCTTGTAACAACACATTGGTTTTGGACTTTTAGTAAGTAAATGGTCATTCACCTTGCACATGTAAAGGCACAGTTCCAGCATAAGATTGTATTTTTTGTTAGCATTTTCAGTTGTTAATGTCTTCTTGTAACAACACATTGGTTTTGGACTTTTAGTAAGTAAATGGTCATTCACCTTGCACATGTAAAGGCACAGGTTACATCCCTTGCCACGTAAATTTTCAGGTGACTGGAATACTTGCCAAGTTAAATCCCGAAGATCAGCAAAATATCCAAGTTTTACCATTAAAAGTCTGCTGATCCAAGCCAGTAATACACTGAATGCCTCCAATTCATAGCCTATGTTCTTGAGTGTTTGGATTTTCTCTTGACAGCTATATCTCAGCACGCTTGTCCACATTTCGTTACTGTCGTTAGTTATGTCCCTGCTGTCAAAGTTCATGGTCGAATCCATAGTTTACTTGTTTTTTGTTTTGAGTTGGCTGAGCATGAAGTAAGTAAGAGCATATGTCCTCTAAAAGTGACATGCACCTCTCTGCTCAGTCTTCAATCTTCATATCCTGGTTCATATATTATGTTGAGGATTTTTATGATGTATACATCATCAGGAAACAGGAAAAGCATTTGATAAACTAATCTGTAAATTACTAAACACAGGTGAATTCCGTAGGAGATCTGTGTGCTATATGCCAGGAGAAGATGCATGCCCCTATCTTGTTGCGCTGTAAACATATCTTCTGTGAAGACTGTGTTTCAGAATGGTTAGTTTATGCACTTTGTGATTGCACACAAATATCTCGAGGAAAAATAATTATTGTCTATGCATGTTTTTATTGTACTTCTAATTTTCTTCTTTATTTATAATGCCTATTTGCATTTCATTCAATAGTAGAGTCAAGGGAGACATGAATCATTAAATCATTGTTATCTCTTTTCGGTTACCAGGCAAGGTAGCAACCCCACATCCCTACCCGAAAATCCAATTTCCAAGGCATTCCCACACCATCTTATCTATATCATCAGTTATCTTTACCTCCAACTGGTTGAGGCTGATCTCTCTCTCTAATTCATGGAATAGAATGACAAGATCCCTTAAAGCTTATTTTTGGTGGGTGTCACCAGTTTTAACCTCAAGATGCAGTCATTTTGAAACCACTCATGGGTTAGAGTAGCTATACGTATCAAAATGGATGATGAAGAAATAAGGATTTCTATATGTGCCTACAATAAAGAATAGCTGGGCTTGGGAGCATAATTTGCTGAGCTTGATCTTGCTGAAATTGTGATTTAGGAATTTTGAGAATAGTTGAAAAATTTTCAGAGAACTGTTATATTTGCCATAATGAATGCCAAAATTTTGGGGCTAACAACGAATAAAACAACATTGAGATATCCCTTCATGTCATGAAAACACAAAATAAATGTAAATCTTAAGTTAGTGTCTCTTAATATAAGCTAATGGAGAAATATGGTAATCTCTCTTTGGAAGCTGAAATAGCTATCTAGATTACAACAATCAGTTTTATTTGTTTGAACATACTTCAAATCCAGATAAAACTGTGTTTTTGTAGAAAATAATTTTTTCCCTTGGTTGGGATTGTTACTCTGCTTGTAGAGCCAAATATTTAGTGTAGTTTAGCATATAAATTTCGCAGCTTTCATAATATGCACGAGTATATATTCTCACTCTATATAGTTGCACCAATTTTACAGTGTGAGTACACATTGGAGGTAAGTAAAATTCCCTGGAAAGTGGAACCTGATGAATTAGTCTGGTCTCAGTCTGCTTAAGAAATAAATTTCAGTGTTATCATGTCGAGAACCAATTGGTTTGGTCTCGCTCTGGGAGAACTGGGTTGGCTGTCCATTTTTCTTTTCTTACAGCCCGTTTAACAGGGGATTTAAAAGCCACTCGTTAGAAGAGTTTTTAGAGGACATTGACTTGGATTGCTTCCTCGGGAAGCTCTTCTACTAAAAAAAAATAAAATGCAAAAGCCCTGCCACATGATCCTTTAATGTTTTCAGCTTTTTGAAAAACGTAGAGTTTTGATTGGTGAATGCATCTAATTACAGTGCAATAAGCCTGTAACATAGCTTTTCCCCATTTTTGTCAATTGCCCTCGTTAATTTCTTCTTCAGTTACATTATGCACATAGTAATAAATTAAAATTCAGATTAATTGACATTTAAAATATATTAAAATTCAGATTAATTGACATTTAAAATATATTAAAATGCAGATTAATCGACGTTTAAAGAAAGTTGCATGTTCACCCCTTTAGTATTCTTGAAGCCTTTTCATCATCTTTTACAATATTCTGCAAATATGTTTATGGTACTCTATAGACCATTTTACATTTTCTTATTGGTTGGCATCACAATTAACCCCCCCCCCCCCCCCCCCCTCCT